CTTGATTTCCAGAAAAACTACAAGTCTTATGGAAAAAAGTTAAATGGCAGAGTTGTAGGTAATAAAAAGATCTACAACTTTTGTATTTACACTTTTTTCACATAACCTCAAAATTTATGTGAAAAATTCAAAAACTTGGTTATTTGAATTTTTCACATAAATTTTGAGGTTATGTGAAAAAAGTGTAAATACAAAAGTTGTAGATCTTTTTATTACCTACAACATTGCCATTTAACTTTTTTCCATAAGACTTGTAGTTTTTCTGGAAATCAAGGGAAACCGTTTTTACCCTTAAAAACTCACCCCCTACCCCTTCCCGACCTCAGATCGCCCGTAAATTATTTTTCCTTTCATTTCTGTTATATTCTCTTTCTTTTCCAATGGGTTTCATCCTACTATAATTTTTTTTGGTTTCAAAAATTATCGACCCTGGTCTATGTGTACATGTGTATTTTAACTGATGATACAGTTTACGATATAGAAAAAGTATTAGATCCTTACCTTTCATGTAGACAACGATATTCAAAATATATGTCTAGAGAAATTAAAAAAAAATTAATATCCATTACTTCTAATTTTCAAAAATAACTCGCTGGTCTCAATTTATCTACCTTGGTCGCAGTGGGGGTATAACTCAAAGACGGTATTGAACGCATACATATATATTAGTTTTCGAAAAGCCAAACAAATCACTTAAAAAGAAGGAATATATGACGCTGGTTTTGTTAAATTTTCTATCTGGAGGCTAGCGTAATAATTTACAAACAAAATCTTATCAAACTCCAACCATCATCAGGCAGGGCGAGACCTGGGACACTTACAACTCGCTCCTCGACAATCGAATGGGAAACCTCGACTCGTGCCATGTTTTGGAGTATGGAACCCTGTGCAGCCATTTTCGCTTGGCTTGCAATGTCCCCCGAGTGGTTAATTTCTACATTGTTCTAATTATCAACCACTCAGAAGATAATGGTGTTTGCACCTGATTGTTCAGTTTTATGCTAATGCAACAATTTTGCAGACTAAGACTCTAGGAATATATGGATTATGAAATATCAAATAATTTTGATTAAAGATTGGGTTGATGCTCTTTTCTATTTAACTTTAAAAGATCCTTAATTAATAATGATTAAAATTTCCATATTTGGTAATATTAAGACCTAGGATTAAGTTTTGAACCTTGTTTGTACTGTAACCTTAAATGAATAAAAGTGATTTAACTCTACGTGCTTACTTTACAACGTTGTACACATCTTCCTGTAATACCGTTCCCTTATATCTGCTACTATTGCCTCAGCTATGGAGAGCTCGATCATTTAACCCAAATCATGACATATTACACAGGGTGTCCATATAAATCTTCCCTGCCGCGAATTTCGAAGACCAAAGGAAATATCTGATTTCTATAAGGAAGTTATATCGCGCTTATATTTGACTACTTCTGATTAGAAACGTCATTAGTTTTTATAGCTGTGTAATCTGCAATCTTAAGATGACCATATCCCTGACCGAGAAATAGTAAAATTTGTGGCGTTTTTAGGTACTGAAATCTTGAAAAGTAAAACATAGAAGTACAAAAATAAAATCCCTGATGTTCTGTTTATTCATTATTACCATTTAAATTTACTGAAATAAAATAATAACTAAAAACAAAGCGTCTGTAAAACATGCGGTTGCTGTTTTCCTAACATTTTAAGAATTATTTGCACGTACTTATAAATAAAAGTAAACAATTTTATAAGTAGGACGAAGCAAGTAAATGTTATAAGAATATTTACATGTGGAGTTATACAAGGTGTAACTGAAATAAGTATTCAAAATTTCTGAGGTTGTAAAACAAGTCGAAAAATGACGAAAACTTAGTACAATTTTTGTCAGTGGCGGCTCCTAAGGGAGCTACGCTCTCCTAAAGGGGTAACCTCAGAAACAGTTTTTAATGCGTAACATCCAAACGGCTCGATATTAAGTCACGAAATTTTGGTGAGATATTAACCTTGACGTGCTTAATAAGTCTCATAAAATACATTTCAAAATTTGCTACAGGGGCGTGAGAAAATGCAGGACCCAGGGACAAATTTAATCATATCTTTTATGTAGTCAACTTTTTCTAGTTCCTGACTCAAAAATATTGAGATTTGAAGTTTTTAACATAAAAAAGGTCCTCTTGTTAAATTTCAGTAGGATGTGCCGTTTTCCAGTAAAATCGATTTCAATCTTTCCCAACGTGCTCCAAATTCAACTTTCGTTACAAAGCAAAATTAATTAATTGCAGTGTGCCATGGGGAAAACAACTAGTCTGACAATTAACAGAAATGTCAAATATTTTTAACACTCTTAATAGTAACAAATAAAAATATGGTGATATAAATAAAAGCTAAAAAATAGATACATATAAGATTATTTATTAAACTATTGTAAGCGGCTGAAACTTTTACGTAACATTTTAACAGATTTAAACCATTTAGTTTAGTTTAACAAATTAACCAAATATCTTAATTTCTTTAGCAGAAAATGTGCCCTAGTCAAGAAGACAGACTAGATTCAACTTTCAAAATGTCCGCCGTTTGCCCTAATGCACGCACGTAACCTGTTTTCCAAAGAAAATAGGTTCCGGTATAGTTTGTGCTCCACATTGAGTTCATTAAATACATTTTCTATACGCTGACGCAACTGTTCCTCATTGTCAACAGCTTGGAAATACACTTTTTGTTTCATTTGACCCCACACGTTAAAATCCATTGGGTTGAGGTCTGGTGACCGTGGAGGCCAATTTATGGCAGCATCATTTCCTCGGCCAATCCAGCGATTTGGGAAGTGCTCGTTTAACCACTGTCGACATTGACGGTTGAAGTGAGGAGGGGCGCCGTCATGCATGTACCATAAGGAACCTCGTCTTACCAAAGGAATATCCTCTAAAAATTCATACAATCTAGTAGACAAAAATTGATGGTACATTGCTCCGGTTAAATTTCCAGGCATGATGTGATATCCAAATAGATTATTTCCTAATGTGGCAGCCCAAACATTTATTTTAAATGAATGCTGATAATGGGTTACCTTCCGAGCATTAGGATTTTCTTCGGCCCACATATGTTCATTGCGCATATTAAAAACACCGCTTCTGGTAAAGGTAGCTTCATCGGTAAAAATAATATTCGATAGAAACATCGGATCTTCGGCTTGCCTGTCTAAAACCAACTGACAAAACTGTCTGCGCATGGGCCTGTCCTGTGGTAAAATGTCTTGGGCCTGTCTATAATGATAGGGATACAATTGTTGTTCTCTCATTATCCTCCATACTGTCATATGAGACATGTTATTTTGAACTGATAGTCGTCTTGTACTAAGAGTGGCGTTAGCTTCAACTAAATTTAAAATATTTTCCTCATTCAGGACATTTCTAATTATTCTACGCCTGCCTCTCTCAAAATTGTTCCTTTTTAACGTACCCCGTTCTCGCAAACGCCTTTCTGTGCAAAGAAATGTTTTGTAATTGGGCACATTTCTGTTGGGGAACTTTTCACCGTATCGTTGTGCGGCTGCTCTTGCGCTTCCATGACATTCACCTAACGTCAAAAGCATATCTACATACTCAGAAAATGTATACTGTTGCATTTTTAAATTATTTGATATTTTTATTTACTATAAAACGGCACTGCGAATACTCAAATGACACAAATTTGAAACTAAAAATACTTGACATTTCTGTTAACTGTCAGATTAGTTGTTTTCTCCATGGCACACTGCAATGAATTTATTTTGTTATGTAATGAAAGTTGAATTTGGAGCACGTTGGGAATGATTGAAATCGATTTTACTGGAAAACGGCACGTCCTACTGAAATTTAACAAGAGGACCTTTTTTATGTTAAATACTTCAAATTTCAATATTTTCGAGTCAGGAACTAGAAAAAATTGAGTGCAAAAAAGATATGATTAAATTTGTCCCTGGGCCCTGCATTTTCTCACGCCCCTGTAGCAAATTTTGAAATGTATTTTATGAAACTTATTAAGCACGTCAAAATTAATATCTCACCAAAATTTCGTGACTTAATGTCGAGCCGTTTGGATGTTAACGCATTAAAAACTGTTTCCGAGGTTACCCCTTTAGGAGAGCGTAGCTCCCTTAGAAGCCGCTACTGACAAAAATTGTACTAAAGTTTTCGTCATTTTTCGACTTGTTTTACAACCTCAGAAATTTTGAATACTTATTTCAGTTACACCTTGTATATAAAAAAGTCAGTATTTTCGTAGATTTCAGTACTTAAAACCTTGATGGTTTGATCGTTTTTTGCACCTGTTTATTCGTTTTACTGCGGCGTCTCTGAAAATACTCAGGTGACATTGCATAACATTCCTATTATTTGGTAAGCTTTAGATTATTCAGTTATTAAATGTTTGAAATTATTTGCGGTCGATAGCCGCACGGTTTAAGGCGTCAGTACTTAAATCGATGAGTGCTATCTGCCCGGGTTTCGAATCCCGCGACCGGTAGACCGTAGATTAGCTATGCTTGTACGGAGGATTGGCACCCTCTGTGCAGGTAAGGTAGGCTGGAAGAATGTTGGCTTGGGTCAATGTGAGAGATTGACATCGGTTGGTATTTGACCACCCTCCTAATTAATGAGGTTTTCCAGGTTTCCCTCATTCCTGCACTGAATGGTGGTTAGGGCCTACCAACATAAGTCGTTCCTGGGCGCAAATGCGGTATGCCGCCTCCTTTCCCGCACAAGTCTCCGACTTCTGGGCTAATTCTCGTAGTTAGAATGAGGAGTAGAGATATTATATTATTATTATTCGTCTTTTCGGAAAACACTATTTAAAGAATATGGCGCCCATAAGAAATTGTTCAATGGCAAAAACTTCTGTAAATGATGTGAAAATACTAATTCTGACCAATTTTTGATAAACCACTAGCTTACGAGAGACTTGAGTTTGAAAATATATTATTTAAAGAATAATAATAACTTTCAAAATTAAGAGCCTGATAATGTATGTAAGTTGCTGTTCAGTTCCAAGAAATATTTTATCAAAAGCAAGGCTTTCGTGGCATTTGATTTGATGTAGATGTGTTAGTAAGCCATTATTGTAAAAATAATTGGCTTAATGCCTCCGGTTATTAACAGCTGTTATTACTACACACTATGAATTGATATTTTGTATCTTGTACCTATCTCTGAACAAAATAATAATAAACGCAATTATGAGAGTGAAGGGTAATTTTACAATGGGACCTGATTTAATTCCTGATTTTTAATAAAAGACTGTAAAACAATTTTGGCACAACCTTTAAAAATTTGTAATTGCATATAAAGAATATCCACAAGTATGGAAAGAGTCGCGAATATGCCCCGTTTATAAAAAAGGTACTAAGAGCGACATGAGTAACTACCGACCATAGTCCAATTAAATTAGCCTTTAAATCGCAATTTGGTCAACTTGCCTAAATTTTTGATATGAGTTAGTTTGAGCTATATAATAACAGTAAGTGACAGTAATTTTTGTTTCAACCCCCGGCCAGGGGTGAAAAAAGATAAAATAAAGGGTTTTTTCAATATAACTTAAAAGGGGTAAGAGCTAGAAAAAAAGTTTCTTATAAAAGTTGTAGAGCATAAAATTGTACATAAACGTGGCATATTGACTTTTTTTATATCATTAAAATTAACAGAGTTAGGGAGAGTAGAAGTTATGGGATGATTTCAGAAATTTAAAAAAATCAACAAGCATAAAAATGAATTTCAAAATTTTTTTTTCAGTCTACTCTGAAAAATGGAAACTTTCTGTTCAGAGAAATAGATATATTTTTTAATTTTTAATAAAAAAGTTAAAACAATTAAAATTTTTTAATCATTAATTTTTATGATTTAACACTAAAACAATTTATTTCTATGCCAATCGATCATTTAAAGTAAAAACAAAGTTGCTTTCGAAATTTTGTTTTATGACAAAGATAAAAAATCACGTTCGTTTTGTGAAATTGTTATAACTTTTTTAATAAAAATTAAAAAATATATCTATTTCTCTTAAAAGATAGGTTATATTTTTAAGAGTAAATTGGAAAAAAAATTATAAAATTCATTCATTTTTCTTGCTTGTTATGATTTTTTAAAATTTCCGAAATCATCCCTTAATTTCTAGTCTCCCTAATTCTGTTAATTTTAATAGTACAAGAAAAGGTCAATACACCATTTTTATGTAGAATTTTATGCTCTACAACTTTTATGAGAAACTTCTTTTTCTAGCTCTTACCCCTTTGGAGTTAACTTGAAAAACCCCTTTTTTTATCTTTTTTCACCCCTGGCCGGGGGTTGAAAAAAATTACTGTCACTTATTGTTATTATATATATACCTCAAACTAACTTATATCAAAAATTCAGGCAAGTAGCCCAAAGTTGCGATTTAAAAGCCTATTGAATTGGACTAATAGCTATTATAAGTAACTTCTCAAAAATCCTGGAAATAATTTTACACAATCGACTTTATTCCTACCGTAACAGCTAATGACGCAATGATTCCCTAATCCCTCTCTTTAACAGCGCCATCTATTGGCCCATTCCTTGCTTAGTTAGCGTGTGCTGTCTTGCCGACTCATCCTTCGAGCAAATACTACTGGAGGTGGCATGCTATTGCGAACAGTGGCTGACTGTGCGAGACAGACAGACAATATCTCACTCTTTGCTATCTCACTGTAGCACGCACGCGATTTGTTGGAAATTAATACTACAGAGCGTGCTAGAGCGAGATGGCTAACACTGAGATCCTGTCTGCCTCTCCCGCACACGTGGCCAGACTTTTTGCCATGGCATGCTATCTCCAATAGTATGTGCTCGAAGGTTTCATCCATTCGACACATCACATTCTAAAAAAGTTACTTGTCGGTAAAGTAAATTGCATCATTTATAAATGACAATATTTTTAATATGATTTATTTATTCATTATAGACATTATTTTGATAAGTAGGATAATTCCGTATCATTTACGATAATTTTATGCTGCGGGCATGATATTTGCCTCACTTCAGGTTGTGAACACTGCCTTCCATTCAATGATTTAATTGAGGTTAAACAAAGGATACAAGCACAAGTCACGGTTGTATATTTACATTTCAAAGTATATAATGACGAGTTCAAGAAATTTCCTGTAGGCTTTGCCTTAAAACTTATCGTTAAAAGTTTTGAAGTAATAGAAAACGTTTTTAGAGGTATTCTGGATGTTCTTTTGTTGAAACTGGTAAGTCGGAAGGTATTAGATAAGTGTGTAGCGACTTAACAATAATTGTTAATTTCTGCTAGTTATTCTCTTTCTGTTTGGTTAAAGTTGCGTACGTTTCAGAAATTTGATGATGAGAGCAAAGAGGTTATATGTAATGCTTTCAGAAGAAAATTATATGCAGCATTCGAATTCAAGTCAATGTGACCGAATACCGATAACACAATTATTCCACATGTGGATTGCGAAAAAATGTTACAGCTCGACATAAGGGAAGTGTACACGAAGGAAAAGAGAAGCGAGTCAATTTCCGATAGTGAGAAAATATGTCGATTGTGTATGAACTGTGTGTAAAAAGTGAATTTATGTGCATACGTGAAGAGGAACTCGAAGCTATTCAGAAATTGACTCCTAAAATGGTTTGAACAATATTAAATACTTGCATTGTGCGTAATTTAATGAAACAAATTTGCAGAATATAAATGTCAAAGATCCCGTTGTATGTAAGGAATGTTTTGATTCCCAGTCTATCCATAACAGTTTCCTTAGAGACTGCTCAGAAGTAGAGGAAAACATTAGAGATGTTTGTGATAATTCAACCACAGAAAGTCGAACAGATACGTCACCATCTGATTTATTTGTTAAGACTGAAAACCTGGACAAAGAATTCGATATTAACGAGATGGAAATGTCGATCAAAATTGAACGTGTCGACATAAAATCTGAGTATGAGGAAGCAAGGTAAGGGAAGACTATTTTAGCAGTAATTTAAAAAAAGGTGCAGGGCCTGGTCGTTGTACTGTCACGATTTATAGAATGAAATGAGTGCGTAGGTATATTGTTAAATTTTTAATTCATATTATTAGCTTATTACCAAAAAGGGGTCTTATCGTACTCATGGATGCAATCCATTACTATACTAGTTTATAAGATTGGTGATATACATATTGTAACAAATTATAGGCTTACGTTGGTAATAATGTTACAAAGATTTTTATCCAATCAAAATCTTGGTTAATAAATTACCTTTTAAAAAGTATAAGATCTTGACACAACAATCATTATGGCTTTATGTTGCATGTGGGTATAAAGGACACTTTATCAGTTTTCACTAAAGAACTCGTTAAAATCAAAATAAAAAAAACATACAATGTTTTATTTTCATTTTTAATAAATGTAATAGGGGAAAGTTTTTAAGTTCGTCAGTGGAAAATGCCCTGATTTTCTTGGCTAATTGTTGTCAGTCGTAGGTTTTGTATCCAGATGTAAAAATCACATTAAGTACTTGTGGACTTGACCATTTTCCTGAGAATTATTTCTTCTATACAGGCTGTTACAAATTCGTTTCTCACTACAGGGATCTCGGAAACAGTAAGAGGTACGAAGTAGCTTAAGGATGTTCGATACATCTTTTGCGGAGCAGGCGGTGCGGGAGGGAAGCCTATGCTTATACACGGTAGTTTCGTTGTAGTACCAACCTTACATAAACTAATTTGAGCGAACTAAATATAATATATACGAATGAAATTTATACAACACATATTAGCTTGCATATATTTTTCGTGTTTAATGCACGGCAATTAACTATTTATTTGAATAAAAGTGTCTATTTACTTATTAAGAGCTTGTAAAATTATGGATGAAATCTGGCAACAGTGCCATTGCCACGCCGTAGTGGTAAAAGTCAACTGTCATTACTGTCAACTGTGCTTTGCGCATATTCCGTAAACTTGATGAACATTCAAGATACAAAGGAAAACCAATATAAAATGCGTATGAAACATAATATGGATTGATGAGGAAAAAGTAAAATGTGCAAACCGAGAATCTATATGATAACTATCAAGAAGCTCAGTGTATGATAGTGAGACGTAGCCTTGTCAAATTGAAGATTATGACAGAACACCTATACTGTTCGTTTTGCAAAGAGATCCTTTCAATTTTTGTTTCAAATTGCTAGTATATTGCTTTAGATCACGAAAAATTTATTTAATATTAATTATTACTACACATGTATCAGTCAAAGTGTTAAATACAGCGTACAGTGTTGCCATATTTCCTTTCAATGGATCAGATGTTTGTTCGAATTTGTCAAAACGTGTATATTCATTCATTATCTCAATAATTGCATTGTAAGTGCATATTTTTATAGTTTTAAAATGTTTAGTAATATTTAATTCTTTAATTACAATTTTATTTTCCCGATTTTTAGTTTTTAAGAGCAATATTCAAGTTTGTCTAAAGTTTTTCCCAACTCCCATAAGTGTGTATAAGAGCATAATTTTTAATATAATTTTTCAAAAAAATTACATTGGCAATCGATCTGATATTTTTACGAGGCAGTTTGCATATTTATTAACAGACTTCAATAGCTTTGAAAACTTTCTTACCGCTTTTTTTCGGTATTGAACCTCCTTAACAAGTAACCTAGCAAAAAACTCGAGCAGTAATAGTCCAGATGGTATCTGTTTCAAAGAGTCCATATTTGAGTGAATCGTATATCTACGGAGATTTTTGGCTTTTCGGCTTTCAAATATCACTTTTGGCGCCACAACAATACGTAAAAAAAAATTTGAAAAATTTTTCTACCTATTATGTATCTATCTATCTGTAAGAGTTGATTTTAGGCGAAAATGGAAGAGGAAAAAAATGTTTGTAATTAAATTTTACAAAATAAGACATGCTTCAAATCAAATGAATCATGATTATTATTGTAAAAATCGAAAAAATCGCCAAAAATGGGGTTAAAAAACATTATTTTTCAGGGAAATTTTTTTGGGTCTTTAAGTGGGTATAGGACCTTCATACTCGGCTGAAGAAAAGTTTATGTTATGTAGAATCATCACACCAAGTTTCATCAAAATCGTTTCGATAGATTTTGCATTATAATTTTGCAATCCAGATTTTGAAAAAAAATCGCAAATTTTCAAAATTTTGCACAGCAAAAATCAAGGCCTTTAGATATTTGAAAATTTAATCACATACAGAAGGGCTCTCAAGCTTTCAAACGCTTTTGAAAAATTCGAATTCGTCAATTGGGAGAGCTCTGGCGCTTGTCATTGGTCGAATTTTTGTACTATAATTTTGTAATTTTGTAATATAATGAGTTAATTTCTCATTTACTTATATTTTAAACAGTAAATAATATTTGAATTATACTTTAATCANTTTTATCAATATCACCTCAAATAAGGCTGAAATGAAACAAACGGATTTCCAAAATTTCGTTGTTTTCCAAATATTTCGAAAACTAATACAGTTGAACTCGCTTATAACGAGCAGGGGATATAACGAGCACTTGGTTATAACGAGCCAATTGAAATGTCCCTACCAAATTTCCTATGTAACACATGTATTTTTGTTCGGCTATAACGAACTCCTATATAACGAGGGCTTGGCTGTTACGAGCTTTGATTTTGGCCCCGCGCAACAGTGATCTCGGCTATAACGAGTTATCGTAGAATCAGTTTTTACGCACATGACATCAAATGAACGCAAAAACTTGTTATGATTAGTAGAAATAACAACATATCCGATTTTGACGTCTTTGACTTAGTTCAGTACGACATGGTAGACGAAAATCTCGAAGTGGCTGAATTCCCAAATGGAATTCAAATCACACAATTAGCGATTAACCCATCAATAGATGAAGAGTGATGAAGAAGAGACGGGAAGCGATGAGGTTACAGTTCCTTCGACACATGAAGCCATCTCTGCGTTAAAAACCATAGTATCATACGTCGAATTCAAATATCCAGAAAACGAGCAGTTCTTAAATGCCGCTGATCGGTTGCAAAGAAATATCATTCAGGAGATATTAAGCAAAAGAGTGGTGCAGAAAAATATTACAGAATTTTTTCGTTAATAATAAATGCTATGTAACTTACCTACAGTTATACGTATCTATGTTATGTAGATAAATAATATTATATGTTTGAAAATAAAAATACAAGTGCAATGCAGCTATAATTATGTGTCCAATAATTTTCAGCATAGTTGGCGACGGCGGCGTCTATAACGAGCACTCGCATATAACGAGCAAATTTTGCGTTCCCGTGAATGCTCGCTATAACCGAGTTTTACTGTAATATTAACCTTGATTTTTTAGAGTCATAATGTTGGTCCCCTGATTGTGCAACTTTGCCCCCATTTAAGCTACTTCTTATCTCACCGTTTGCGAGATCCCTGTAGTGAGAAGCGAATTTGTAACAGCCTGTATTGTACGAAGAGGCCGGCTCAGCTAATCTGACCACGAAAATCTGGTAAGCTTGTGTCACACCCGAATTTTAACCTTTTCCTTTTTTCAAATGTACACGGATAACGTGTATCGTTCGGTTATTAGATGACAGTTTGGAGTTCTCTGGGATCACGTGATCCCTAACAGAAACTTTCACTTCATAACTTCAAATGGAAATGATGGAGCTATTGTGTTAGCGACATTTTTAAAGATAAATATCAGAAATTTCCATTAATGCTTATAGAATTTTGTCACACTTCCATTGAGAGTTTCTGTTCCACATAAGAACCCACACAAAGCCTCTAAAATACTTTGTCTGATTTAAATGGAATTTTTTATGCAATTTTTTCAGTTATGCGTCACTGCAGAGCTCCAATAACGAACCATCCGAGAAGAGTGATTGTAAAGATGCGGCAGAGGATGGATGTAAAAATGAGAATGGATGGGAAAACCAATGTAATATGAAAATCAAGCGGGACTGCACGGTATTGTACAAATGTGATGAACATATTTGCGAAACTGAAAGACACGAGTATGAAACTGAGAATAAGAAATTACTTCAAAGCCGGTTGAGACATAAAGACCCCTCACCAGTCAAAATATACAGGTGTAATGACGATTATGAAAGCAGATATAGGAAGTATATCAAACAGCATCAACTGAAACATAAAGATCCTACGGGCGTTCAAATGTACAGGTGTAACAACTGCGATTATGAAACTAAGTACGAGGGTTACATCACACGACACCAAATGAAACATAAAGATCCTTCGCAGATTCAAATGTACAGGTGTAACGACTGCGATTACAAAACTAATTCAAAGGGTGGTCTCAAGAAGCACCAAATGAAACATAAAGATCCTTCGCAGGTTCACATGTACAGCTGTAACGACTGCGATTATAAATCTAAATCAAAGGAAAGTATCAAAAAGCACCAACTAAAACATAAAGATCCTTCACAAATTCACATGTACAGGTGCAACGACTGCGATTTCGAAACTAAATACAGGACGAGTATCAGAAAGCACCAACTGAAACATAAAGATTCTTCAGAGGTTCAAATGTACAGATGTAACAACTGCAATTATGAAAGTAAATACAAAGGTGATATCAAAAAGCACCAAGTGAAACATAAAGATCCGTCGCAGGTTCACATGTACAGGTGTAAAGACTGCAGTTTCGAAACTAAATACAAGAGCGTTATTAAATGTCACGATTTGAAGCACAAAGGACCTTCTTAAATGCGCTTGTGAATATGACAGGGATCACAATATTCAAAGCGAATCGTAAATGTGTACATGTGTATTTTAAATGGTGATACGGTTTACGATGTAGAAAAAGTAATAGGTCCTTACCTTCCATGTAGACAACGATTTTGTCTAGAGAAATTAAAAAAAAATTAATATCCATTGTAATTTTCAAAAATAACTCGCTGTACTCAATTTACCTACCTTGGTCTCACTGGGGTATAACTCAAAGACGGTATTCAACACATAAATATATATTAGTTTTCGAAAAGCCAAACAAACAAATCACTTAGAAAGAAGGAATACAGGGTATCTCATAATTAGCTGCCAACCCTGAACAGGCCGATTCTATGATCAAAACTAAGTAAAAAAGTTCATATGAACATGGGTCCGGAAATGCTTCCTAAGGGCACAGGGACCCATTGAAGAGGGAGGAATGGAAATCATTTTTTTGCAATATCTCTCAATCGCGTTGTGANGTATAACTCAAAGACGGTATTGAACGCATACATATATATTAGTTTTCGAAAAGCCAAACAAATCACTTAAAAAGAAGGAATATATGACGCTGGTTTTGTTAAATTTTCTATCTGGAGGCTAGCATAATAATTTACAAACAAAATCTTACCAAACTCCAACCATCATCAGGCAGGGCGAGACCTGGGACACTACAACTCACTCCTCGACAATCGGACGGGAAATTTCGAGTCGCCCCATGTTTTGAGTCCCCCGAGTGGTTGATTTCTACATTGTTCTAATTATCAACCACTCAGAAGATAGTGGCGATTGCACTTGATTGTTCAGTTTATTGCTAATGCAACAATTTTGCAGACTAAGACTTTTTCTAGGAATATGTGAATTATGAATATCAAATAATTTTGATTAAAGATTGGGTTGATGCTCTTTTCTATTTAACTTTAAAATATTCTTAATTAATAATGATTAAAATATTCATATTTGACAATATTAAGACTTAGGATTAAGTTTTGGGCATACAGGGTGGCACAAAAGTATGGAAACTGCTGAATAACTCGTTAGGAGTGCATTTTCTTGAAAAAGGATACATACAAAAATTTTAGGATTTTTCCCTGGCTATTCAATGGCGATTCTACCTTCACCTTGACCTTCGAGGTCATTTCAAGGTCAAAATTGTTTTTTCAAATGGGAATTCCTATTTTTTATTGCGGATTTGAAAAGAGCAGGAAATTTTACGTCCAAAAATGGTCTTGACCACGACTTTGCCAATAACGCTCTTTCCAAATCCGCAATAAAAAATAGGGGTTCCCATTTAAAAAACTTAACTTGAGCTTCAAATGACCTTGAAGGTCAAAGTCAAGGTCATATCCAAGGTCACCTTCAGATAGCCAGGGAAAAATGCTTACACCTTTGTCTGAAACAATTTTTCGCAAAATGCATTCTTCGAAAGTTCTGCCGTACTGGGTCTTTTGGAAGTTGACCCACATTTGACCTTGAAGGTCATTGTCAAAATCATGGTCTAGGCCAGATTTGGACGTAAAATTCCCTGCTCTTTCCAAATCCGATTTTTAAAGACTTCATTTTATTAGTTATGGATTTTATCCTCCTTGTGGTACACTTCACGATTTATTGCTTTCTTGTTTTAATTTTAATAGTCTCTGTCGTAGGCGAATTATGTTTTCAATTATATTCCTTTTTAAAATCATAAATAACACTTTAAATGCAGACTCGCTAGTCTCCAGAATTTTATATCATGTTCCTAGACTTAATTCTAGATTTCACTCTGTTTTACAATTACCCATACCTTGTACCAATTTACTAATAGCATCTCCCCCATATCAAATGATTTCCAATTATCAGAAGTATGAAGATGGACTTGATATATTTTTGATTGACATAAAAAAATTGTTTGTCTAGCAAATAAATGTAATCCTTATTTGTTTTATTTGTCTGTTATTGTTCATATTTAAGTTCCTTGTCTGGATTTTATATTCTATATTTTTATTGCTCTATTTTATGTACAATTTACTTTTTACATTTAATTTTAGTTTATCTTTTTCTCTTAAAATTTAGTTAAGGTTTTCTGTTTTATTTTATCCTGTAATTGGGACGTTGTCCCGTTGGATATCGTAATTTCTAAATAAATAAAATAAAATATATGAAAGTTTATTTTGAATAAAAATTCAAATCAGTTAATAATGAACATAAAAAGTTACTTATTTTGTAAACAAAAATGATATTAATTGGACAATTTTGTTCAGAGGTGAAGAACAACATGTAAGCTGCATTTCGCAACATAGGGCACAAGATCAAATTTAATTTTTACTAAAATTTGGACAGAAATCACCACTCGACATTTTGATGTCAGAATTTTCAAAATTTCTTAACATAGTATTAGGCTATTGATTATGTCATATGGTATGGAACCACAACGTTGATGGGTTTTTATTGCATGAATCATTCAAATGATTATTTGGAATGAAAAAACCGCGGAGTGCTATTAAATCAGAGGGAGGAAATTGAAGATATGGGTGAAAATGCACCCCTTTCAGTTTTTTAATTGTAGCTCGAAAACGAAGCAAAATTTCGCTATAGTTCATAGGAACAATTATTTAGAGAATTGAATTTCCCATCGAAATAGCTTATTTAATAAATTTAAAAGGAAAATTTTATGCAAAAAGTCGTTAATAAACAATTTAAAAAAAAGCAAAAAAAATAATTTTGATTTTTTTTTACTTTTTTGACTCAAGTTTTTTTACGAGTCTTATAATTCACTCTATCGAGATCTGCAAATCCGAGGCAACTTTCCTCGTCAAACCTCTAGGCGGTCCCTCGTCGAGGCAACCTTCCTCGTCAAACCCCTCATAGGCATTTTTTTTTCCGTGGAATCGGTAATACACGTTCCATAATTAAAAACTAGAATTTATTATGCCAGTTCGTCAGAGAATAGTAGAGGAAGAAGGGCATTAAATCCTTCTATCAGTGTTCGCAACCGTATAACAATTATCGTACATGTACGATAATTTCATGCCTACGTAGACGTACGATAACATACGCAGATTGTAGGATAATTTCCATTACGAAATTTTGTGAATTAATTTTATTCCTTCCCTGATAGCCAATAACGCAGACTCTCTTTTGCTAACTGCGCCATCTATTGGCCCATTCCTTAGGTAACGTGTGCTGTCTTGCCGACTCATGAGTTAATCTTTCATCCATGGACCATTTCATCGCTTTACATCAAATAATCAAATGATTTAATTTCAAAGGAAATTATAATGACTGGTGTTCATGAAATTTCATAGAAATAGAAAATCTTAACTTACATTATAAATCTGTGCCTCAGAGCTAAACTGTATCGACTCCATTTTTTACGAAAATGGGATTATTTGACAGCCCAACACAGTTTCTTATGCTCTTTCGCGTGCTAAACAGTAATAATTCCGTACTTTCGAAGATAGACAGTGCTAAATAATAATAAGTCCCAATCTGTCTCCAAGCTAGACAAGCGTATGTGTATTTAATATTAACCGTGTTTCATTTCCACAGTATTAAGTTGCTTGTTACATCAATTTAGTCCGAGCCAAACAGGTGTATGTGGAGTTAATATTCTTTTAGTTTGACTTCGGAGTATTAACTCCACACATATCAAGATCATGTTGGTTTACTTTAGTATTATATCCACATTCATCGTGTGTAGACGTGTTTTTGCAGTGTTGGTGATAACTGGTAAATTATTAGTTATTGAAAAAGTGACTGATGACATGTAAAGGCGACATTTCTGTTTAAAGAATAATAATTACATTTGTTTTTGTTTTTTCTATCCAGTTTATTAAAAATCAAATGTGTTGTTGGTTTATTTAAACTTTAGTTTTTTTATGAATATTATCTGATGTTTATATTTTTAAACATATTTATTGAATGTAGTTTATTTATTGTTTTGTTGTTTGTACTATTTCAATAAAAAAAAATTAAACTGTGATTTTTATCAGTATTATCCTCAGTATTATCGCACAATTAGTAAATATTATAATATAAAATCCCTAAATCATGTTTGTGCCAAATAGTGTTAACTCCATATTTTCGAAAAAAAAAATACGAATAGAAAATTATTCTTTAAATTACAATAAATAATATTAAAATAGACGTATAACTTCACATCATACTAATTTTTTTATCAAGGAGAAGAGTTTGAAGTTATGGAATGATAAGCAAAATTTAAATCTTTAAATCTCTCCTGTAAAATTTCGTTTTTGGCACTTAATACAGTTTAGCTCTGAGGTACAGAAATGCATAATTAAAAATATCCAAAATTTTTCTGGTTTTTTTTGTGAAATACGGTTTTTACAATCGTTACTTTTCAAATAAGAACAAGATGCAACAATTTGTAGAAAAACATCGTTTATTCATAAAAAGTTATTAATGTTATGTTATTAATACAGTTAACATAATAAAGTAATAATAATAAAGTTGAATGACTCTGTACTCTTTATTAATATATTAATTTCACGATTTTTAAGATAGTATGTCTTCATAAAATGAAACAGTTTCATCTGGAATCAGTTTATCATTGCACATAGATTGCAAGTCTGTCTTTCTTCTTTTTTTTTTGTCTAAATCTATTTTTTTTTGTATACACAGGTTCTAATGTATTGTATAATAATACATTGGAAATTTGATGGAAATCATCGCTGAACTGATGTCTATACTTACTCAATAAACCCATTTGAGTGAAATACACTTTGTGCGCGAAACGCAATTTTTTTTATACAGTATAGTAATGATTGCGGTAACTTACTGACAATACCGACTGTTGGCTGCTGAATTGAATTACCAGGTTGACAGTAGGATAAATCAAAGTAAACTAAAGGTTCGCCTGATGCGTACTTATTGTCACTTTGTCCGTTCACTAATGAAATATTTGAAGCACTTGAATGTAGATCAAAAGACATGGTTTTTAGAACAATAACAACACAAGTAACACAAATTAATCACTAATAACTTCTAAAAATAATAACGAGAAAAACCATAAAAATTAGCTATTCAACACAAATAAACTGAAATCGAAGGATGAAAAGGCTCCAAGCTTTGGTTTACCCCTACGGAAAATTTACGCTAAACGTGATGTCAATCGTGATGTGTATCGGCAACAAAAGAAGCCATTTATTTTGTTTTTACTGAGGTGCAGTAAGAACGATTCGGACCCGAAGTTTGTAGCGTAGCCTGATCCACTATATAATCCTTTTTATGCAGGCTCCTTAGAGAGAGCAAACTTGTAACAAAAAAATCGAATATTTTTTTGTAATTGTTTATTCGCTTCTGAGCAAGACGCATAGAGCAAGAGTATAAGTAAAAGCAAGGTAAGTGACATAAATTTCCTTTGAGACTACAAATTTTCAAAATAATTTAAAACTTCTTGTAAACCCCACAGTAGCTATACAGGGTGTGCCATTTAACACTCCCGCTGCCAATATCTCCTAAATGAAGTCATTTATTTTAGTTCCGGAAACAGAGGTTGTTAGGTCCATCGAATAGCTTCAAATTGTAGTTAGAACTGTTAGTTCAAATCTTTCTGTATAGATGGCGTGGCGATACTAATAAATTTTTTGATCCCTGGAACGTGCAAATGCAGTCCATATGAAAGATTGTTAAATTTTGAGTAATTTTTGTAATATAAAGTTTTTCCCAATATTTACTTGTTTTCAAATCATTTCGAGTTCAATATGGAATGTATGATGTAACAGGAAAATCAATTATTTTATCTAAATCGCACCTAGACAAAATATTCTTTTAAAATATTATTATAATGACTTTATTCACACCACATACTTACTAACAAACGATAAATTATAAAAAAACAAATGGTCAACTACAGAAAGAAAATTGTACTACAACTCGCGCCATTATTCTATTGCTAGAAATAGGCCTCAATGATTTGGGATCGAGGGGGATTATCCCTCTTTATCCTGCCTCATTTCGTGTAGGCCTGGACAGCCTTCGTAGGTGGGCCCCATCCGTCGTCTACCCCGACCGTAAATGCGGCCGGTGTAGGCGCTTTGTGGGACCTCCTTTTGTCCTGGCTGGGCCCCGCCGGCTAGGGCCCTTTCTTCTGGCGCTCTTCTTGCTTCGCCGGCTCGTCTGTGTAAACCCCGGGGGTAGTGTCATGTTTATGTGTGGTATGGTTGGGTAGGGTAGTGCGGCTATGCAGCCTGGGATGCGCTTTGCTAAGGTGGCCCTTAGGCTAGCGCGGGAGG